TGTCGATGAGCAAAAGAAAGCAAGAAGCACACAAATCAGCTCTTCATTTCATTTAATCAGTTTTTTTATGTAATTTTGCTGACATTTTAATATTTTGAAATTTAAATATTTTGAAGTTTTACCCAATTTTTTTTTACCAAACACTATTCTTTATGTCCCAGAGGACAAAAGAAACACTCGGAATTCAACGTTAAGCAAGCAGTGTTGCTTTTATTCTTTGCATTTTTCAAGTTGGCACAAAAACTAATAGGTTCTGAAAACTGATACAAAAGCAACTAGCGAAACGTTCAAGCATTCTTTTACCTCCGATATTTATTTCAGGTTCGACTTTAAAGTTACCATTTCTAGGCAAAATTGAAGAAAAACTTGTACTGAGACTATTTTAGGAGCGGCATCCTCTGTCCAATACCTTAGACATTGGCGAGACTGGATGAAAAAAAATTTAGAAAAAAAGTATAAGGAATTCACCAACCCGATAGGGAATCAATAAACATTTAAGATAAGATTTTACTTAATAAGAAAGAGGTAATAAGAAAAACCAGTGATTAAGTATGTAGTTTCGAAATCAAACTTTCTTCTTAAAATTATGTATATATTTTTCCTGGCAGTTTTTAGGTTAAATTACAAGCAACAGTGTCAAAACCTCTTTTTTGATTCCAAAGGTCTGTGAAAAAAAACAGTTCTCAAGTCAGTAAGCTAAAACTTTCAAAGCAAGCCATGATTTTTTTTTCAATTTTTCAGATAAAACTTTTGAAACCCAAAAATGAAACAAATGCAGCTCAAAATCAGTGAAACTTCAGTCACAGTCACATATTAATAGACGTAATATGAAAAAAAAGAACAACTGTGCTGTTTCTAAATCAAATTTTGTTCTTAGAATTTTAAAAAACATATATTTTTTTGTTGGAAGTTTTTTCTTAGTAAAATTGCAATCAACAGTGCCAAAACTTCTTTTTTGATGCCACAGATATACGAAATCTAGTGCAAAAAAAAACAATTTTTAATTGAGCTTTCGAAAACTTTTAAAAGAAGCCCTTTCATTTTTTCTCAGTTTTACCGATTAAGTTTTTAAACCCTTAAACTGAAGCAATCGGAGCAAAAAATCAATAGAAATTCAATCACAGTATTTTTAGCTTCAGAAAAAGTAACAAATATATATGGCCTTTTAAACTCGTTTTCCATTTTAAACTGCTCTTCAGCTATGATCTTTTAAAAGGTTCGCAGCGCACTGCTTGGCCTCGATAGAATGTTTTTTGAAATGTCAATACGAATCGGAAATCAACAAATCAAACTGCTGCATATCAAACTGCTGCAACTCCAAATTACAAATCGAACATTATCAGGTACAGTCACGGGATATAAAACTTCAACTTTGAGGTCCAACTTGACATTCATTTCATCACTTCAAAACTAAAAGTTACAACTTCTCTGTCCCGTGACAGTTTCAGAGGTAAGTTTAATTGTTAAAAGGCTTAATTCTAAGTTTTCCTATTGCTCGTCTAAGCCTTGCGATATAATCTCAACATTTTTTAACGAAAGTTAGTTATGATAACTTTTTTATTTTGCACGTTAAGTATAGACATCTTTCAGATAGATAGCAAAATTTGTCTAAGTTAAAATACCGAAAAGATTTTAGATTAAAAAACACACCGAGCAAATCAATAAAGCAGCCAATTTTTTTTCAAAAGTCAAAAAAAATCATACTTGCAGATGAGAAGTATTTACTTTTATCTGTGTTGTGATTCTTACCATTTGTTTTATTTCACTAATTACTTTAAAGTATCTTAACTGGTTAATCTTGATTTGACCTTGCTATCTTCATTCTCTCCGACGGAGAGAATGACCGCTCACTTTTTAATGTTTTAACTTAGAGATTAATTCACTTTTTAAACATATCTTATTTGTAACTAAGTAGAATTAACCGTAACAAAGGAACATTTTATCAATCTGATACTTACCGAAAACATAAAGAATATATTTTCCTATCTTCTTGATGTCTCGATGCCAAATGTTGAACACTGTGAATTACTTTTGATTTTTCTATGAATAGCTTTGAAGCTAATTGGTCTCGTTTACCTTTTACTAAATTGCTCTGAAGCCATAGAACCGCCCCATTCTGTTTGGAATGATTGTTCAGATGGACAGGGGACAAATTTTAGCGCGTAAACTGAACAAGAAAAGCATCAAAAAATTGCTATTTCATCAAAAAACGAGCGTCTACTTGCGACGACCTCTCGATAATCAAAATAAACATTGTTTGACAATAAATTTTGTGTGAAATTCATGTTCTTTCGGTATGTTATAACAACTTTGAAACATTACAAGGAACAAAATTGGTAAATTGACCTGAAATTCAACTTTAAAACACTATTTTTTCGAACCATCTTAAAGTTGGGATGATCTCTTGGTCTAATGTAAATTTTTAAGAGCTCTCAATTTCTTCAAAACATGATGACAGGGTGTCAAAATTGATAATATATTATAGCACTTTCAATGGTAGTGCGGCTTAAAAACAAACTTGTGTTAGGATAAAAAATGGCCTTAAAAATTTTAATCCATTCCAGTTCATCGCGAAACTGATCAAAAAAAAGCGTGAATATCTGATTACAAGTGCAATGAAATGAAAACTATTTTAATATACTTTTTGAGTCGTTGCAGTTGAATAGTTAATTTTTCAGCTTTGAACAACAATTGTCTATATTTTTGGGGGAAAAAACTTAAAAATAGAAAACACATTTTTTTCAAATTCTGTTTTTTTTTTCAGTTTTTCCAATGCTAATGAAGCTAGGACACTTTTTGCTACATGTACAACCACATCAGCCCTTTTCTGTCATAAGAGTAAAATTTTGTAGAAATTATATACTGTAGGCGTCTGGCTTCAGAAAACAGAGTTGAGGACAGTTTTTAAAAATTATATTTATTGCGATATTTTGATACACTTTTTTAAAAAGTTATAGATCAATTGAGCAATCTCCCCCCCCCCATTCTCGCTTGGGTGGGGGGGAGGGGGGGGGGATAAAGCTCAATAGGTTCTTGAGACATGTTTATAAACACTTGAAAATAGTTTGGATGATATGAAATCATAAACAGATTCTCCAACGAATGAGGAAGGCCAAAATTTACAATATCAAAGCTCAAAAATTACAATTAAAGTGAAAAAGAATCAATAAATTTGAGGCAAATAAAGCTACTTTTTTCTGTACTCAAAGGATGAAAAGTGTTTTGCACACAATATTAAGGTGCTGCGGAGAGCAATGCTTAATATCGAGATCCAAGACTAGAGCATCAACCCAGATAATTTGCTTTCTGATGAGGCAATGGTCGCCCAAACAGAAGCTTACAAAAAAAATTATAGAATCGAATTTATTTTATAAAATTTGATTTTTTTTCTTTTTCAAAATTTTTCTCGATACTCTTGATACTCTTGAAGTATATAAAATAAACTTGAATCGGCCAATTGATTGCGTGCTACGAACATATCAACCATCTTCTTGCGTTTGCTGACGTATTTTTGTAGCGTTTCACTGTTTTTGCGTGGGGGAGGGGGGGAGATAGCTCAATTGGTCATTACGGGGGGAGATAGCTCAATTGATCCAAAGTTATTAAGACAAAACTTATTCAAGGTAGCTTTGCGTTGCTCACAGGGGCGGATCTAGGATTTTCTCGAAGGGGGGCGGATTTTCAAAAATTTTCCAAAATTTTGACCTTTTTGTTTTTTTAGGTCGACCAAATTAATTTTTCGAGCTCTCCCTAAGCACTGTTTACTGTTTTGCCCCTATTTTGGCTAAATTTTTTGCGCCGCAGGCAAATTTTTAAAAAAACAGTCAAAAAAGCCGTTTTTGGGCACTTTTTGGAAAATTTTGACAAAAAAAGTCGCGTTTTTTTGGCGCGCGCTCCCCCTCAAAGTTAGTATATATTGGCGCCAAAGGCGCCTTTAGAAAAAATTTAGGGTCGGTCGGCCAAAAATGGATTTCTGAAAAAGTATCAAAGGGGGGACCCTTTGGGTCGGCAGGGGGTCGAATCCCTGAGAAGGGGGGGGGGGGCGTCCGCCCCCCGCCCCCTCCCCCTTAATCCGCCCCTGGTTGCTCATCTTCTGATTAAAAATTGTTTCGGACTGGATTTTTTTTTTCAAAGCTGAATCTGTTTGCAGAAAATTTTATCAAACATTTTCCTACCAAACTTAAGCGCAATAAATTAAGGTGTAATCAAAACCTTCCAAAGTGCACTCATGTAGACGTAATCTTGTTTTTGTTCAATCCCAAACACATTTATCGAGATTTTAAAAATAATAATCCGGGCGTTCAAGAGTGCCAAAATACAAGAGTGCCTAAAAATCAAAAGTGTTCGAGAGTGCCAAAAACTGACAATTTATGTATTCATATATGTTCTGTCGTTGCATCAAATAATTTCAAGTTTGCTTTGACCATTGTACTAGTCATTTTCTAAACTATTTTTAGCACCCTTGAACACAGTTTTTTATTTTTCGGTATTTTTTACGTCGGCTATGTCGTACTGAACCAAAAAAGCACTTGAGGTATTTTAAAGATGTCTAAAACTACAATTCACGGATCCTGTTTATGTTCCCTTATGATACCTTGCAACAAATCGCCTCCCCGTTATTAAAAAAGAATTGAACGCTAAAGTATATACTTATTTGTAATTTGTAAAGAATTTCCCTCTGATGCAATATTTGATTTTTTTTTCATAGCCAAAAACACGCTTTACCTTCTGAACAAAAAAATTAACGTTTCTTTGAAAAATAGAAATGATATCCAAGTTGAAATTTACATTTTGGCGACATTTGGGACACTTTTTGTGATAAGGTATGACAAATTTAAGATCCAATCAACCAAGAAGATTTGGTAGTCAGATTTGATAGTAGAGAAAATAGTCAGAATATGTGAAAGCTAAGGTGGCGAGGGGATCAAACCCTAAAAAGGAGACCCGGCCGACCGTCGCATCCCTCAAGTTAAAAGCAATTTAAGGAAATGTCTTCTCACCTGTTGAAGTACTTCGTGTAGTCATGTGGCATGCAGATTGCAACATATCTGTTCACGGTGATCACGCAGATGAGAAAGAGAGACGAAAAAGTAGTGAACGTGTAGGACGCCGAATTGACAAAGCAGCCAAAAAATTGGCAGATGGATGCATTGGAAATGTAGCCTACAATGAGTAAGGGACTTTAGTTTTGAATGAAAGCCAATTTTTTTCGAGAATAATTTTCGTACAAAATCATTATTGTTTTTTCGTTATCAAAAATTGTGAACTTTTAAGCGTCAGTTATTAATTAGAATTAATGAATTTTCAATTTTATTCCACTTTTGGATATTGTCAAGCATTTGCACGCGGAAAACAACATTTACAACTCTTATGATGAAATTTCGGTAAGCCAACAGTTTGTCAGATACGAAAATTGAACCAAAGCAAATTTGTTAGGCAAATCAGAAAATGTTTTTTAAGCTCTATGAAAACCAGCGCCTACGAGCTACACACGAGCTGTATTATCTGGCCTTCGAGGAAGGAGCAAGAATAATGGTGGGCTTGAAACATCGACCTTCCGATTGAAAACTGTATATTTATGTTGCACTTCGCTGTCGCTCCCCGTCTAGGCAGCTGTCCTTCAATTTTTTTCAAATGATCGAAACTTAGTAATTAATTTTTTCTACTACTGAATACATTTTCTAATACTGAATCAATTTTCAGCGATGGAAAGTGTAATTCAATTAAACCATTTCTCACCTACGAAAAATCGCAAAATTGGGTGTTTCCAATTGATCGCGAGCTAATTTCTGTAATTCTAAATTTAATTAAATAGACCGAAATAGAACGAAATTTTTGTATATAGACCAAAAAAATTTGTATATCTAACCGCGACCAAAATGGTCAAAAAAAATTAACCGCGACCGGAGCGACTTTCACGACCGTTGCCTTTTAAAATATAACATCTTCAATGTTTTATGTAATTCAATTTATTCTTGCTATTTAGCAGTTTTGTTATACATTTGAACAATCCCCAAGAGTTTCATATGAAATCATTGTTTTTAATGCATTATACCATGGGCAAAACGGCAAAACACCTATTTCATAAAATCATTTTTCATGACCCATAAAACTGTGAGAGTTGATAATGAGGGAACTTAAATCAATTAATTTCAAATTTCAACAAGACTGCTCGTATCAGGGCGAAGCCTTGAATGTTCCGACTGCCTTTTAGGGTTTTATGGAGCAGTAATAACATTTTAAGGTTTTATGGAGCAGTAATAACAAAAAATTAAATGTAATAAAATAAAAAAAAAAAATTTTTTAAATTTGAAATTTTTTATGAAAATCATCCCCCCACACGCCATTTAAAGTACAAAAAGATAGATTTAGCTCCTTGTAACAAATCAGTTATGGCAAGTAAGCTTCTTTCAACATATTTGGAACGATTTTAAGACGGATTTAACTCTCCGCTTACGCGTTGATAGCGCGAAGTATATCGCGCGTTAATTGTCCCAAATTGGCCAAAATGGCAATCTTTAAACCCCCATAACTTTAAGAAAAATGATCACCGGTGAAATATCTTTTCAAATTTGAGCTCAGGACAACAATACCTTTTGAATGATATTAAAAAATCCGTCAAAAACAGCTAGTTAAAAAGTCGAAATTTGTCTGAAGAAAAAAAAAACCCACCCCGAGCACAAATATTCCGTTACTTTCGCATCGAAAGTCGGAACAATAAGGATAGCCGGGGGGACCAATTGTTAAGCAGACTAATCTTGTAGAATAAAAAGTGAAACATAAGTCTTTTAGCAGACCAACATAATGAAGTGATGAATCATTGATTAACAGACTCAAAAAGACGCTCAGTCTGGGGCCAAGCTTCCCCAATTAAGACAATTGTCTCATGATTTGTCAACAAAACTATCAACTTCCAAAACCCCACAGTCTAAATTAGGGGTAAAGATTTGCGTTGTGAAGTTTGAAGCCTACTTATTTTGATATCAAGTCCTCAAAAAGAAGTAACCTTTACTACTTAATATCGCTTCTCGGATTTTGTTTGAGATTATGCGTGGCTTCCAAGTCCGTGACTTATGACCAGGCTGTCTCATTTAAGCCCAGACTATTGCAACTCATTTCAGACTACTTTAATTAGTATAAAGACTACACCTCGAATATCTTTAGACAATTGCAGCTAATTTTCAGACTACCGCGATCAAATTACTATTTTTTTTCTTCAATTTTTGTCCGCTAGTATAAAACCCTCTTCATTATCTGAAGTTTCGGGCGCGTACTAATTATCATTAATAAAAACCTGTATATAGTTGACAACTACTTTTTTTTCTGAAATTTTTTTCAAGTAGTTCACTATTCAAAGTTAATATTGAACAATTGAATGTTCAAAGATGATTTCTGAACAGTTTAATGTTCAAAATTAGTTTCTGAGCAGTTAATGTTCAAACATTTGGTTTTCTAACCAATTTAGCGTTCAAAAGTAAAGTCCCTTGCCTATAATTTTACTGAGACTCAACAACTGCGATGGATAGAATCAAAAATTCACTTGGATGACAATCTCGCTTTCGTTTGTAAACAATAACAACCAGGTAATTCCCAATCATTCCAATTAGGGCAATGATCGCTTTGAAGAAGAACAACAACACTTGACCAGTGTTGCCGCCCAAATTGTTGTCGTAATGGCTCTGACATCTGGTTGGATCGATGGTGCTATTCGATGCTTGGTCAAAAGAGTCGTTCATTTTAGCCAAATTAAGTTCAGATGAACTTAAATTTAGGGCTGGCGAGCTGAATTCCATCTAATAATAATTTTTAATAGTTCAAATTTCAGAATAAATTGAGTTGCAAAGTGAACTTCAAAAGATTAATTTCAAAAGATTCTTCATTTTTTATCGAAATAGTATTCGTTTTTTTTCCCGTTGGAGTTGATTGAGAGAAACTGAATTGATTTGTTGATGCAAAGCAGAAACCTTCAGAAATTTGTGAACTTGTTTTACAGATGTAGAAAATAAATATTGCACGTTAGTTTATCTTTTTTGATTGAAGAAATTCTCATCAAAGTAAGTCTGGCGTAATGCAATTAAAGCGCCAAAGACCATTGATAAAATACAGTCATTGCTATACATAGCAAACATCAAAAAAATAAATTCTGGTTGACGCAAATGCGCCAAAAACGGTCTAGAATTAAGTTTATTTAAACACTTAGAAGAATGATTTTGTCTGCAGTTTCTTCTTTCTAATCCCTAACGTTTTCAGATGTCTAGTTGTAAATTCTGGAAAAATTTCGATCAAAATAAACACTACTTTTGAAGAAAGGGAGCCAAATATTCAAATGAGACGATTTTAGGATTTCTTGAAAGGATTGAAGAATTAATTAAAAATATAGCTGCCAATCTCAAAGAAGCTTTTTGATATAAAAATAAAACGGGGAAACAATAAAAATGACAGAAAATATCTCAGCAAAACAAACTGAAGCAAGTTCAGTATTTTTAATTAGAGAAACCAACCATGAAATCTTTTGCTCAGAAAATCATGTCAAATTTGATAAAGCTGAACTTTGGTATAATTATGTATCGTGATTGATGGTGTGAAAGATTCAAATATACAAAATCTGAGTTTCTTCGAAAACTTGTAAAGTTAAATGAAATAAAGCGAAATAATGAAATGTGTAATCGAGCTAATTTTAAGCTAGTATCTTTATTGGCCAAAATCGAACCCGTGAAATTTTTGCTTCGGCTGAAAATAACTCAGGGGCTCAGGGGAAATTGATTTGAGGAAACTGATCTGAAATAGTCATGAAATACTATGGTAAACAAATAGTGTGCTAATTTATTTCTTTCAGTTATGATTGGAGAAAAAATGGAATTGTGGGAACTGAAAAAAAAGAAAGGAAGCTACCAGGGAAAAACACTTGCGTTTAATCTTGTATATTCGATTATTTTTATGTTTTTCTTATGGAGGAAAAATTAATTTTCATTCATGACAAGATTATTTTTGAGTTCTTTTTAGTAAGCACGGTTCTCAGAGATAAATTTTTAATGATTAAAGTATGCATTTGTAAAGAATTCAGTTATAAATTTGTTGGTATACATATAAGGAATGAATTGCAGAAACTGTTTTATGAATTGTACAATCGTGATGAAAATGAAATTATATGAAATTTGTTGCTTATTATAAAACTCCTATTACAAATTAAATTGCATGATAATTTTTATAGAACAGAATAATAGAATTCATGAATGAGTTTGTGTTCAAAATTGGATTGAATTTAAGAAAATTTTAATTGAGCGATATGAAATATTGAAAGGCATGCCATTTCCGCTCAGACAGGACAAAAATGAACAAATGGATTTTACTGGTGATGTTTCGCATCAGTTGCGTTTGAGGTTAAGGCCTTGACACTGTATGGTGAAAAAAGGAGAAAGTCGAAAAGGCGTTCTTGTGACATTATAGACTATTTAAGCTAGGTTGAACATTACCCTTCTCAGTTTTCATAGACTTAATCTACGACCTGATGAAGCGGCTCACTTACAGTTCATCTGTTTTACAGTTCACTTGACCGACAAGTTAATCCAGCCGAAGCCTCCAAATTTTTACACTAGTATTCGATGTATCACTTTGACTTTAAATTTATAGTATCGAAAACTCTCCCGAATCGAAATTAGTTTCTGTTTGTAAAATCTCGACTTGGATATGAAACAAATCGCCTTTTTTGAAATAATAAAAAAAACGGAGAAAAATGTGTGATGAAACCATTAAATAAAAAGGTTCAAAGTTATACAATCGTAGAATATAGATAAAAGTTCAAATCACCTGGAATATAAGGAGAAAAAAGCAAAAATTCTTTTGTTCAATGCGAAATATCATTTTTCTGTCAAGTTCAATTTAAGTTTGTGAGCTATACTAGAAGAAAACGGATGCGGTGATCAAATTTATAATCCTTTGAATGTGGCATAAAGAAGCTCAGCGCTCAAGCATAGATTATTTTATTGGTTTTATTCGGATACGGATCTCAGTAGAAAATACGGCCCATTTGAACAATCTACCCCCTGAATAGACCATGTGAGCATTCTCACCCATAAAAATAAATGGCAAATTCAAGCAGTGCTATGAGCAATGAACTATGTCAAATCTGATTTGCGGAAAGTTATGATGTTAATTAGTGCTATCATTGGTTGACTGATATTATAGCCAAGTGAATTAAAGCGTTCAACAATACCGAAGTACAGCAGTGCCGAAAATGAAAGAGTGTTCAACAGTGCCGAAAGTTGGTTATTTTCGGCACTGTTGAACAGTAAATTTATTTTTGGCACTGATCTGCTTCGGCTCTGTTGTGTTGCCCTTAGAGGGGCCTTCAACAGTGCCTAAGTACAAAGGTGCCGAAAATGAAGTCATTGTTCAACAGTGCCGAACATCATCAATTTTCGGCACTGTTGAACACTTTTTCATTTTTGGCACTGTTGTACTTCGGCACTGTTGATTTGCTCCAAGTCAACGTATCACTTCCCTAACTTGATTTAGTGGAGAACTTTCACATGATCCAAACATATCGTAGCGCGACAAAAAAACTAATAGAATCTTCTAAATAAGGATAGCCGGTTACTATGCAAGTAGCACAGAATGTTCCGACCATAGTTTTTCAAAAATACAACAAAATTTTTTTTTCAAATTATTAATATCAATTTTTCTGCGAGGTGTGAAAGGATCTGAACGAAAAACTAGAGCTTTGGGGTATTCGACGATAAAAGTAAATTCAGCAAATTGAAAACCTTTTATAACATTTAAACTAGAACTTTGGGGCATTCGACGATAAAAGTAAATTCAGCAAATTGAAAAACATTTATAGTAGAAAAATGACTACAAGAGCTGTTTCAAAAAGGCGCAAAAAGTCGTCTGAAAAAACACTAATTTAAGTCGAGTAATGCTAGGTTTTTACCGCTTAACTAAGCAATTTTAAGCGTCTAAGGTATTAAAAGAAACTATTGTAAGACTGCGCGCTCACTGGAAATTAGACGAAAAACCAAAATTTTCAAACCGGTTTTTCTCAACAATGGGAAAGTTTTTTTGGAAAATTTTTAATGTCGTTTGAATCACGACTGAACGGGTTTTAAAATTCTATATCATTCAACTCTCTCCGATGATTATTTGTGGTAGCTGATTTTGCAAGGAAAACTAAAAAGGGAAACTAGCTGATTTTGCAAGGGAAACTGAACCATACCCGAATACAAAGTTCCTCCCCATTTTTCAAATGGTCGGAACAGAAATAAATTTATGATATAGAAACTCCAAAATTCCAATCTTTTGAGGCAAAATAAACGCAAGAAAAAAGTTACCGCTTCACTCCATTCACTTTTTATATGGTGGCCGTAAATTTTTGGAAGCGGGCTATAAAAGTTAAACCCCCTTGTTTTTGTGACTTTGACATTAAGATTATCTGCATATCAAAACTGCGCAAAAAATCAATTGAACGCATTGCGAAAGTTTATGACATCTGGAAAAAGTGGAATGAATCTAGTAGCTTTGAAAATTGGGATGTCAGAGCAGATCAACTGCAGTGGGCTATACTGTCAGGCAAATCGTACAATTCAGCCCGCACTGAAAACAGCCCACCGATCAATACTTTCGATTGCACGCCATGGCTAACGATACTTGGAAAGCCTCCAGCGCCTAAATTTTTACACTGCTTTTTTCAATCGCTGACATTTGTAAGGAAAAATGATTGCACAATGAGAAGAAATATTTCATATTTGTCATTTTGATTTCATAAACAAATTTTTCGGAGCCCAGAAACTACTGTTCTAATCCCGAGTTTAAATTTTTCAAGTTTCATTTGTTTTCAATTTCGAATTGCTTTCAAAAATGGCCTCCGTTTTGATAATCGGAATTCGGTTTTCTTATTCGGAAAACTTTGGTTTTGTTAATATGTTAATAAAAACTTTTGGATACAAAACTTCAAATGCTCTCTAACTTCAAATGCTTTCTAACAGTGTTGAAAAAAGAGCTCAACTTATATTATTAATTAGATCCAACTTAAATTAAAAAGTTCCAACCCAAGTCTAACTTAGATTTTTCAAAAATTAATCCAACTTAGATTAGATCCAACTTCCATTTTTAGGCAAGTCGGCTAATTGCCACCTCGTCTAGACCAATTTAGATGAGTAACAATGAATAAGAGTATATTTGATCATAGTTGGTAAATAACGGCGGATAAGTTGACCCAGTTTGAAAAGGGGAAAGGTATATCTATAACCCTAAGCAATCTCAACAGCCGCCTTCAAATTTCCCCTAGGGGACCAGAAAAGCCGCCCTCAAGATATGTTTTTCTGTTGAAGATGACTTTAAAAATAAATACCACCCACCAAATGTTGAAATTGAGAAAAAAATATGTTGTCCCGCCTTTAGTCTTTTCACGTACATGAAGAAATGCCATTGAATCAACTGATAATTATGCTGATTCGGAATTTTTCGGAATATTAATACTAAACGTATGGATGCTGGCTTTAAGCTATCTAAATGA